ATTTACTCATTTGACAGAAGAGCAAACATTTATGAGGCAGTTGGCAAGGGCATGAGTCAAGACTGCATTCAGAAATTCTTTATTAATAGGATCTGAGAAATAGCTGTGGGAGGCTCAGAAGCCCAGAGATGGAAAGTGACCTATCCAAGGTCACACTGGCAGTAAATGGAAAAGCTGGGATTTGAACTCAGGTCCTCTGACTCCAAATCTAGCACTTCTAATGATTTTAGTAACTGAGCCCAGATGTGGCTAATTCTATGCCTACTGGGTTGTAATTACTTACCTAATTCTCAGCCTCTGTGAATGGCTTCTTATTTTTTGGAATCTAACCAATGCAATGTGTTTAGAAAAAGAATTAACGGGGCCCTCTTTCTTCTATAGTTCATGTCATGCTTCCCCCGGGATAAGATGAGAGAGATGTTGGGGAAACAAGGCCTAAACATCATCATTGTCATAACAGTATTAATAGTTTATTTAAAGCATTACAGTTTATAAATTACTTTCCTCATAATTAACCTATGGGATAAATAGCACAAGGAGCATGATTTCTGATTTACAGATAGGGAAACTGAAGAGTCTTCAGAGTGGAGCCAGAGAGATGTGGCAACCAGAGGGACAGTTTTGGAATCTGGAGGAGTTGGGTTCCAGTCCTGTGTCTGAGACTCATACTGGCCATATGGTCACACACACAGGCCAGTCACCTGACCTCTCAGTGCTCTAGGCCACTCTGTAAGATCATTAGTTACCGGTGAGGTGCCCATCTGCATTGGTGAAGGGAGTTTCTACACCCAGACTTCTCCATACTAATGAAGTCACTGACATAGATTTTAAAAAAGTGTCTAGCAGATGTGACATCTCTGAGGGACTTTGCCCATCTTAAGATACTCTATTGATGTTTTTGCCTTTTTTTGGGTACCCATTGTATTAGCACAGTGCCTAATACCTAATGAGTGTTTAAGTTAATGTTTGCTGATTGATATAAATGTCAGCTATTGCTTGCTAATGGCCACGTCAGTTGGCACATCAATTCTGAGCCTGTACTAATACCCTCATCCATAGCTTCCCAGTGTAGCTTTTTGCTTCCTCCTCCTCTGTTTTCTTGCCAGCTTCCCTTTTCTACATGGCCAACACTGACAGGGTCAGAGCATCCCATATCTGTTCCCAGATCATTTACACATCCCTCATCCCAAAATAAAACCTAAGTTCCTAAAAGATCCCAAAGAAAATAAAAAAAAGACCAAATCAAACAAAAAAACGTTTTCTTGCAATGAGATGGATGCCTCTATATGATACAGTAAGTTCTAGATTGAGTTAGAACTTGGCTCACTTAATATTAGACACATAGACACTGGCTATTTTGTGATCTTGTCAATGGGAAGTCTTTGAGCCAGTGACATTTATTGAGTATTTAAGTCAATATCTTAAACAGGTTGATTTAGGGAGTTTCTGTGGCCGAGAGAAGTCGTTAGATTAGACTGCTTCTGAGATCCCTTTTTGATTCAGAGCTTTTTCTTGTAACAAATTGCTTTTATGTTTGTTATCTGTGTAAGAAAGCCCAGCTCATGGACAGGAGGGCTGTAGAGTCAGTCCATCTAGCTTGACTGGGCTCCATGATTACAGATTTCATCTCAAAACAGGGTTGGCATCATGGGGAGTGCATGTAGAGCGTTACCCACATGAGTGGACTTAAGTTTTCGCTGACTCTGAGGCCCATTTTATGTGTGTGTGTCTTAGAGCTTTTTTCTGGGATCCCCCTAATACAGAATTTCTGGTTGCAGCCTTGCCTCAAACCTGGCCTGTTTTCTAATAAATATATGCTTCTGGATACAAGAGATAGAAAATGGCCCCCCACATCAGTGTTTGAAAATAACCATAATAACAATAGCAGCACACATTTACAGAGTGTTTTAAAGCTTATGAAGGGTTTTATATATGTTATCTTATTAGATCCTTCCTTGCACCTGCCCTATGGGAATAGATGCTATAGTATAGCATCAACATCTGTATTTTACAGATGGGAAACTGAGGCTTTAGAAAGTCAAACAAAATTCCTGGCATGTAACAGATACTTAATAAACATGTATCAGTCAGTTGGATGAGTTGCTTATGGTCATATAGCTAGTAAGTGTCAGATTGAAAGCTGTCTTCCAGCCTTCACGTCCACCACTTTGTCCACTATAACACATTGCCTCTATTAATAAACATCGTGTTCAATTAAACTTGCTTTTTTCTTTCTTTCTTTTTTTTTTTTGTGTGAGGCAATTGGGGTTAAGTGACTTGCCCATGGTCACACAGCTTGTAAGTGTCAAGTGTCTGGTCTGAGGCTGGATTTGAACTTAGGTTCTCCTGATTCCAGGGCCGGTGCTCTATCCACTGTGTCACCTAGCTGCCCCGATTTGCATTTATATAGATGAGTTTCAATGCCTCTAAACTGTTTAGTTTCTCTGTCTAAGTCTCCATCAGATTTCTTATTCATGAGTTCCCATTCATTTTCCCTCTTATGTAGTTGTGTTTCTGGTGTGCTTTGTTCTTTTTTTTTTTGCTTCACATTATTTCATAAAGGTTGCTCCATTTTTCTCTGATATTACTCATTCTTGTTGATCTTAATTGCATTATAGTATTCTGTTACATTAATGGGCCACAATTTATGCAATCATTCCTCCATTGTTGGACGTTTAGTTTGCGCCTATTTTTTTTTCCTTTGCTGTTTCAGCTGATGTTGAAATGAAAATCTTTGAAGAGGCATATAATTAGCTTGGGGAACTTGGGGAAGACTTTCTATAAAACTGTGCCATGGAAAAAATTGTGATAAGAGGCAACATGGTATAGTAGAGAGAGTACTTGACTTGAAGTCAGCATGACCTGGGTTCAAATCCTGCCTCTGACATTTATTACCTGGGTGACTTTGGGGGTCACTTACCCTTTCTGAGTCTCATTTTGCTTATATGTAAAATGAAGGGGTTGCTCTAGGGAATCTTGAAGCTCTAAATCTGTGATCGTATGTGAAAGAGAAAACCCATGTGTTGGATGGGATGGAACTGGGCAATCTGGGTTTAAATCTAGGTTCTAACACTTACTGACTCTGTGGCCATGAATAAGGCATTTAGACTAAGTTTCCCCATCTATAAAATGAAAATAATTATACATATACTATTCACCTCACAGACTATTATGAAAAAAATGCTTCTTTAGCCTTAAAACACTACAGAAAACAAATATTTCTCCTCTTCTTTTTTAAAAATCAGCCGTACTTGAAAAATACTTACAGTTATTTTGCACACCCAGAAATGTTAAAACATTTGTGACAATCGGTGGGCTGTCAGAAATTTTCACCTCAAAGTCCTCTGATTGTCATAATCTTTCTTCTTTTCCCTTCCCTTCCCCTCTCTGTGATCTTTTAGTTCAGTTCTCAGGTACCACTATTGCCTGAGATCTGTCCAGAGTGCTGAACTTCAACTTTCTGGTGAAAACTGGAAACTTTGTGGTGGGGATGTGGAAGAAGCTAACACATTTTCTTTAAAACTAACTTTGAAAGTGAAATCACAGAAAATCAGTATAATCAGTATGTACGGAAGGTGTGGAGAGGGCAGCCCTATTACTTTGTCTGTTGGATAGGATTTATGGGATGATTGTTTTGTGGCTTAAAAAAATTTTTTTTTCTTGACTTGTGCCAATCGTGATGGTGGATCATAACAGATCCTTAATCTAGAGCAAGAAGGGGCCTCAGAACATATCTGGTCCAACTGTTTCATTTTACAGATGAGGAAACTGAGGCCATGAGAGGTAAAATCATTTGCCATGGTCACACAGGTAGTGACAGAAACATGACTTGAACCGAAGTCCTCTGGCTCCAAAGCCAGTGGGCCTCCCATGTGCTTCTAGGTGAGTTACTAACCAAGACTGGAGTAGGAAGGGGAGTTGAGGGGCAACTGTAAGGATGACTCTCTGTACCTAGGTTTCCTTGATTTCCTGAAGAGCTCCCTAGGGCTCCTAAACCCCTCTGAGAGTCCTTTTTTTATACTGAAAATTCGCATTAAGCAAATAATTTGAAGAATATTAGCTTTCAGTTGCACATGTCCCATGACTTTGGTTTGAGCTATGTTCTTGAGAGACAATGTAGTGCAGTGGAATAAGTTGAAGAGTAGGCATCAGAAGAACTTGGTTCAAGTCCTCATTCTGGCATTTATTAGCTGTGTGACTGTGGACAAATCACCTAAACCTAAAGCTTCATTTGTCAAAAAACAAACAAATAAACCCCAAAACCTTACATAAATAGGGATAGATTGAAAGAGTTAGAGCCTCATAATCTCTCTCAAAAGGTTGTGAGAAAAGTCCTTTGTAAACTCTAACGTGCTATAAAAACCTACATTGCACTAGGATTCAGGAAGACCTGGGTTTGGAATCAGCTTCACATGTTTATTAGCTGTGTGAGTGTGGGTAAGTAACTGCTCTGGCCCTCTATTTTCTGATCTGAAAAATGGGGATAGTACATTAGACTACAGGGTAGTATTGAGGCTCAAATGAGATAACATATGTAATGTATTTTGTAAGTCTGAAAGTATTGTATCAGTGTGATTCCTTATTGTTGTCATCAATATAGTTTAAAAAATTGTCATAAGCTATGTAAAAAACTCAGCCAAATCTCCACTCTCATGAGCCTCATATCCTCATCTGTAAAATGTCAGTCCTTACAGTACCTGCCTGATAGGTCTTCTAGGAAGTAATGACTTTCCAGACCTTAAAGTGCTATAGAAATATGATTTATTTTTTTGTTATTATTGTTACTAACAGGGTTATTTTATGTAAATCATATAACCTCTCTGAGATTATATTTTCTCATTTGCAAAATGAGGATAATATTTGCCCAACCCACTTTATAGGAATGGCCTGAGGAAAATATGTTGTAAATAAATTTCTATGGAAATGAGTTGTAATATTGTTCAGAGTTTTCAAGTTATTTAATTTTAATTTTCTCTTTCTGTTTTCTTTCAACTTTTTAGATCTCTGAAGGAAGGCATTTCTTGGTGCAGCTTATGAAAATAATGCAGTGAAAATCTCGGCCAGTTGTGGAAATATTGGCCAAATTCCAAATCCAAGTATAGCATTTCTTATATTCAGTTGTACCTCATCCTAGAAGAACCATGTATGGGAGTGCGAGAACAATCAGCAACTTGGAAGGTAGCCCTTCCCGGTCACCTCGCTTGCCAAGGTCACCTCGTTTGGGCCACCGGAGAACCAGTAGTGGAGGTGGGGGAGGAACGGGTAAGACATTGTCCATGGAAAACATCCAGTCCCTTAATGCAGCCTATGCAACATCTGGACCAATGTACTTGAGTGACCATGAGGGGGTTGCATCCACGACTTTCCCCAAGGGCACGATGACCCTCGGAAGGGCTACGAACCGAGCTGTGTATGGTGGTCGGGTCACAGCCATGGGGAGCAGCCCCAATATTGCATCTGCTGGTCTCTCCCACACTGATGTCCTTTCCTACACTGACCAGCATGGGGGTCTGACTACGTCGTCTCATCATCACCACCACCAAGTTCCTTCCATGTTGAGACAGGTAAGGGACAGCACCATGCTAGATTTGCAGGCTCAGCTCAAGGAGCTGCAGCGGGAGAATGATCTCCTCCGCAAAGAGCTAGACATCAAAGACAGCAAGTTGGGGTCCTCCATGAATAGCATTAAGACGTTCTGGAGCCCTGAACTCAAGAAAGAAAGAGTCCTGCGCAAAGAAGAGGCAGCCCGCATGTCTGTTCTCAAGGAGCAGATGAGGGTCTCGCATGAAGAAAATCAGGTAGGTCATGCCCAAGGTCAAGTTCCACCTTCTCTCTGCCCCCACCCCCATCCTCATCCTCCTGATTGATTTCTAACAGAGCAGTTGATACTTTGCAGGTGCTGGGACCTGGGCTGGAGGACATTTCATGGCACAAAGACCATGTATCTACCTTTGAAGGAACCACCAGCAAGGGTGCATAACTTGGGGTGGATGGGAGGCTGTAGCTAGTGATCCTCCCCTTCCTCCAGGAGTCTTCTTTCTTGCTGCTGAGGAGGGGAATGGGCTCGCTTCATTTCTGCACTTTTGTAGGCTGGGTTTTCTCCTTTCAACAGTAATTTGAACGTGGGCCCGGCCAGCTGTCTGGAAGAGATAAACACATTTTACATCAGAATGAAAGCTTTCTCATCTTCTCAGAAATAGGGGGTTAGACCATATGATCTCCAAGGTCCCTTTTAGTGCTGATATTTTAATCTTCATAGAGGTCCATTTTCAGTGGTGAAGTGGTATGGGAAGGGCATTAGTTTCTTACAGAGTTAGCAATGTTTCACTGAAGAATTTGATAGTAAGGTTGGATGTTAGGAAGCTGATGCTAAAGGAGTATAACTCATTGATTCTCTTCCCTCTGCTCCCACCAATGACCACCTTTGTGTTAAAGGCACATGATTTAGGTACCTTCTATAGTTTGCCCAACTCTCTAAAGAAGCCTGGCATATTCGTTTGGGTTGAAAATTGCCAATAAACTCAAAACTTTCTAGAGGCATACCTGCATGATATTGGAGAGGGAGATGGTCAAAGTCATTTTGGAACGTTATTAGGATATCATAGCCACACCCCATTGAGAAAAATTATTATTTTGCTATTATGTTAATAACTAATTATTAAATTAGGATTCAGGTTTTTTCTTTTTATTTTGTCATTTAGGGCCCAGCCCCTATAGGTCAGTCAGGCAGTCTCTGAAGGACATGACTGATTGATGAGATGTCCTTAACCATCTGGGAACATGTTTCTCAATCTTGGATGGGACCCCATCCAACTAGGAAACCTTACTTCTGTCTAAAGTGTGAACAGAATTTAATCTAGGCAAATTCTTGCCACAAGAAAATTAGCCCCTGTCCTTGCACCTCTCCATTGGAGTCTAGGGTGACCAGAGAGGTCTGGATGGAAGTGGATTCCCCTGTCCAGATTGCTAGAGGTGACTGAGTCTCATGATCAAGCCACATTTTCAGTGGGAGGAGCTGAAGGCTTCTAGCCCTCATTAGATGTCCACCAATCAGGGTTGATTTTTTTTTACTTGACAGGGGCACCCCCTTTTCCAAAAGTATATTAAAGCTTTTAGCTTCTCCATGGTTTTGCCTTTGGTTGTTGAGAGAAACCACTGCTCATCAATTTATTAATTATTGGCTAGCCTAATTAATAAATTGATTATTAATTACCCAGAAACTCTGTGTCTAGAAGTTATAGCATCACAACTTTCAGAATGCCGCCCTAGAGGCATTTACATCTTTCCATTTCCTGCCTGGAGGACTATTGTTACTCATCCCTGATCCTTCCTCCATGCTGTCTGTTATCTACTAGGCGATCTCTGGTCCCTGTTCCCCACTCTTTGACACTGTGCTTCCCAGTCCCTGCTCCTTATTCCCCTCTTCCTACCAAAATGTCTCTGGTTCCACTTCCCTGAGCTCCACTGCCTGCCTGATTCTATTTGTGTCATGCTCCTTCTCCAGGATATCTCTAGTCTCTGGTCCCTACTCTTCTTTCCTTCTTTCTCAGTACATTCCAAACAGTTGATCAATTGTATTTGAAGGGAAAATCATAGATGTTTTATCTTCTCCAAGGGATGGAAAGAAAGAGAGAAAGAGAGGGCTGAGAAGAATCTGTTGGAATTTGAGTGTTGCAACACCTTGATTGTACATTGCCAAGTGAGTCTTCTCTGGAACATGAGGATAATTAGATCAGTCACTTAAAAGCTGAAGAGGACCCTAGTCAAACATCTTCTTTTTTACAGATGAAGAAATTGAGGCCCAGGGAAGTAACATGACTGGCCCAAGGTCACATAAATAGTAAGTAGAAGTAGGATTTGAACCCAAGTCTTCTGAGCCAGCCTCCAACACTCTTTTTAATAGGCTTGTAATTTCATTAGATGGCCTAAAGAATCTAAAGTTTGCTATGAGGAACAGTAGAGTGAGGGAGTCTGGCGGGGAGTGGATCATAATCTGCACCAATGGAGGGATGCTCACATTGATGAGATCACAGACCCATTGAAGCATTGAATTATTATGATAATCCACAGGGGTAAGCATTTCCATTTTGGCCTGTTTGCTGCTTGCATCTTCCTGGTTGAAGAGGAATCTTGGTCATTATTGTAGGTTAAAGTGAATGAAACTATTTGAAAGGTTGTGTCCTGTAGGAGAGAGATTAGACTTCTTTTGTTTGGCTCCAGAGGATACAGCCAGGTACAGAGGAGGGAGCTGCACTTCCTAACCAAGAGAGCCAAGATCCCAAAGTGTAATGGGCTGCCTGGAGAGGTAGTGGGCTTCCCATCATTTTAGGGCTGCAGGCAGAGCCTGGAGGATCCTTCATTGGTTATGTTGTAAAAAGGGATTCTTCTCCTTCCTCCCCCTTTTCTCCTTCCTTCCTTCCTTCCTTCCTTCCTTCCTTCCTTCCTTCCTTCCTTCCTTCCTTCCTTCCTTCCTTCCTTCCTTCCTTCCTTCCTTCCTTCCTTTCTTTCTTTCTTTCTTTCTTTCTTTCTTTCTTTCTTTCTTTCTTTCTTTCTTTCTTTCTTTCTTTCTTATAGCTACAGAGGTCCCTTCCAACTTCAATTTTGTGACTTTGGGATTCAAACTTGGAAACAACTCATTGTGTCATGTGCTCTTGAAACATTTGAAAACATTGGAATCCTCCTCTCTCCACCCCTCCACTCCCTCATAAAAACCAGGAGCCTAAAACATGTCAGAGAGGAATTTCAGTGTCTTGGTCAGGGCCGATGCCATTGTTCTGTAGATAAAGCCAGTCTTTCATGCCCTCTCCCTCCCTAGCTGTGCCCCCTTCTTCCCACCAGGCCCTCATCCTTGGGGCCTTCCTTTTGTCTTCCTGTCAGCTGCCTCTTGGTTAATTGTGGTACATTTGGAAAGAGCGCTGGTGTGGGAATCAGAACAGGGTTGTAACTCTGTCTCTGCCACTTACAACCTGTGAGACCTTGAATAAATGGCTTAGCCTCTTTGGGCTTCTGTTTCTGCATCCACAAAGTGAGGGCATTGGGCTGAATGCTGTCTAAGATCTCTGCTAGCTCTGGAGTCGTGATTCTTTGACCCTAACAAGAAGCCTTGATGAAGTGTTAACTAGTAATTGAGGTGCTAGTGTCCAAACCATGATTTGTGAACCTTCTCAGGGCTATTTTTTCTAGCCTTGGCCAGTATTTTTATCAGTATTTTGTCGATGACCTGGACAAAGGCACAGTAAGGCACGCTAACACCATTTCAGAAGACAAAGTGGGTGGGCTACCCCATGCTTTTCAGGACAGAATCTTGACAGGCTGGGCCTGTGGGCCCAATCTGATAAGATGAATTGGAGTGATGACAGATATAAAATCCCACTTTAGGTTAAAAAAAACCTCCATCCACTGTCCAAATAGAAATTGGGGGATGCGTGGCTAGGCAACAGTTTGTGGGCAACAGTGTTCTGGGAGAGAGGATGGAAGAATGGTCAGAAATGATTCTTGCCAACAAAGTGTTTGCTGCCTGGTTGGGGAGAACAGAAGCCACATGCTGATGAATTAGAGAAAAGGGAACTGATGATCTTGCTGTTCTGTGCCTTGGGCTCTCTTCAGTTCTAGCTTCTGCAGGTTAGGGAAAGATTAGAGTTCAGGGAAGGGCAACCTGAAGGGGGAAGGGCTTCAGCCCTCTCCTGTGCAGTGCCTAGCAAAGTGCCCCTAACATAGCACGTGCTTTCTAAATCCTTGTGTTTTGATTGTGATAGGAATCCATTGAAAGAACTGGGTATGCTTAATCTGGAGAGGAGAAACAATTAGGGGTCGTAGATTTGGAATTGGAAGGGACCCCTAACCCAGCCCTCTCACTTTAGAGATGAGGAAACTAAGACCTAGGGAGGCAAATGACTTGTCCAAGGTCACACAGCTAGTGGCATAAGCTCTATGATCTCTGAGATCTCTTATATCTCTGAGAGCCTATATCTCCTCTTCCTTGAGAATTGTGTGGAAAATAGGGAGGACTTAGGACCTATAGACATTCCTCAGGGGTGACTTTTATTTTAGTGGAATGGTGTATGCCATGCATTTTCCTGCATGCTCCTAGGATGGAAGGCAGTATGGGATAGTGGAATCACATCTGGAAACACCCCTCCCCCCAGAAACCATTGCATCATTGATTTTTCTAGGCTTGGTCTGTCTTCCCCTTTCAGACTGCCACTGTTTAGCACAGTGCCTGGCAGACAGTAGGTGCTGAATAAATGCTGGTTATCTCACTGATTCTACTTTCCAGCCAAACCGTACTCCAGGAACTTCTCTTCCTCCACATTCCATCTCTGGTTTGTGTGAATTTGTATAAGCCGTATCCCCTGCCTCCCTCCTCATCTCTGCCTCCTAGAATCCTCAGCTACATTCCAAGCTCAGCTCAGCTGCTCCCTTCTTTATGAGGCAGTTCCCGATTCTGCACTATCCCCTCCCCCCACTCTTCCCCCTCCCCATTTCTGGTAGTCTGTCCCTGAAATTACTTTGTATATATCTTGTATTTCCTTCTAGGCTATGTGTTCTTTGCTTTGATAGAATTCCACCTCGAGGGCACAGCCTGCTTAGTTTTTGTCTTTATACCTGCTACGCACACCTAGCATGTGCTTGGCAAAAAGTGGGTGCTTAATAAACACCAATTGATTGACTTACTAGAAAAGAGGAATCTATGTTATAGCTTATAGGAACTGTGCTGTAGGCATGTAAACTGTGGCATATAATAGGCAGTTTTAATTGGGCTGTTATTGACCTACCTTGTGCACGCTTGAGTGGGCCA